ATGGCTAGTGCAGGGGGCGAACACTAGAAAAGCTTGAAAGATGTTTGAAAGTCATATACCCCCTATAATAGACTTAGCAACAAAAACCCAAATGACGGGAGTAGACGTCTTTTGGCCGAGGAATCATACTAAAATTTTCTAATTATCAACTATTTTACAATTAAATGAAATATTTACAAGGTGCAGCCGAAGTGCAGCGGCTGCGATAGCGTCACGGGGCTGAAGTGAAGCTGCTGCCCGTGACACCTGGGACTAACTCAAAGTATAATTACATTTTCAGCACCCATACAAGACAGCCATACCGATTTTTTGAGGGATCGTTTAACAGGATTTCTGTTTTTGTTATTACTACTTAAAAGAAAGAAAGCTCTTCTGCTTGTAAGCTATTACCGCCACTATATACTAACTAGAGTTGAATCTATTGTCACGCAAATCTTAATCACGCTAAACATGGGATGATGAAACCCCAAAGCCCATTTTGGTCGTCTTCGAAAATTTAAATCATATTTCAATAACTATGTAAAATTGATTTCATAGCTTCGTCAATCCTTTTCAATATGATTTAGGCTTGCATGACAATGGAATTAAACATTCAGTTAGTACACAATCGAATTAGGATTTTGAAAATCCCATCTCAACATGACCCTTTCTTAAGATGTTGAGTCCAACTTGATACATCAAAAATCATCTGGGCCTAGTATGACTGATGCTGTATAGGGTATTAAGCCTTTGTTTGTGCCCTATTTTATCAAAAATTCATTTTTTTAAAAACTTATTTTCATTCACACATTCTTATCCCGTACCACGCTCTCCAATTTTGACATCCTTATCCCGTGCCACGCTCTCTGATGAGTTTGGAAGAATCCAAGAAAAGTGATTTAAGCCATGGGGTATTCTTCATTCCACTAAACAATTCCTCTTGCAATGTCTTTAAGGGACCAAATCTGCACAACTGGGTAAGCCCAAACTCTTCTAGGACTACTCCTTTTAATAGCATACAAAATCTTTCTATAAAGTGAAAGAATTGAATACCAACTTTTTCATTTTTCATTTTTAAATATTTATCGAAGCAATCTGTGTGATTTTGTGTTAGATACCACAACAGTCACCAAAATATTTAAATAATTGACCTTATATATGGACTTCATTATCATTTGGTTTTGAGTTTCTACCCTTCCACAAGTAGAGAGTAGATGATAATATAAAATAAATACAAAAATATCTACCGAAGCACGTATTTTCTTAAGATTTCATTTCAGTTGACATCACTTCAAAGTCTATTTGGAGTAGAAAGTGAATGGTCGACCACACTTCAGTACCTAAGTTAATGTCTAAATTTAGTTTGGCCCGCCCTTCCATCCAGTCTCCTATTCTGCCCGATCCTAAGATACCCTTTGAGGAGCTATCTGTGTCCAACTTTATCCATCCACCCAATGTCTAGCGGTTTCCATTGATCATTTTGAAACATCGTCGGCAAACTGCTGAGGTTGACGGTGATAGGATATGGTATGAGGGTGCTTATGCCACTAAATCGATATAAGTAGCTAAACAGCTTGCTACAACATATAAATGCATCTTCAACATACATCAAGTTGAAAGAGTTTTGCTGATTCTCAAAATATATAAAAATGCAAACCAACATATAAAAGTTTATACTATTTCCCTTAATAATTTTGACTTTTTAAAATGAAACCATAAGTCTTAGCCCCTGTTTGGTGGGGATTAAATCAAATTTTTAGTAGATTTTGACAAAAATTAATGAAATGTGTGGTTAAAAAGTTGTTGATCCCATAAAATATATGATTGATATTAATTGTTACCTTGAACTTAAATTAAAATCTTCAACATGCGCTTTATATGATATCAGAACTCATTAATGTCAAACAAGCTATTGAGTTCATTTAAAACTCAATCGAGCATTCATATGGTAATATTGGTATGCTAAACATGTTAAGGATAAAATTCCACATTGATCAGGTATAAAAATACTAAACAACACGAGAGTTTGCGTTACTGCTCTTAAAATGTTGACATTTTAACAAGTCTTAAAACATGTGCTTGGCATTAATTGGTACTATGGTGGAAAAAAGGTGACTTTGGGATCCTTTCAACCATTCTCGAGTTATCTTTTCTTAAGATCATATCGACCGTTTATATGTGTTCGTGCTAGGTCGTGACTTATTTCATGGAGACAGAAGATTCTGGTCATTTTAAAATTAAAGCCAATATATTCTTGTCCTCTCAGTCTTTTTTGCTTCTCATTGATTTCTATCTTGTTATTCCTGATTGAGGCTCTACCCCTTCAGAAATTACGATGAAGTTGCCTCAACTCCTTGTAAATTAGCTTTATTACATGCATGTCTAGAAAGAAGGCCGAATGTGACCCACGGAACATAATTAGCAAAAAGATGGTGTACACAAATTTTCCTTTTATGTCACAATTCTTTGAGACGTGCATATGAGTAAGGCTTCACTCGACTTGAAGACAGGGTCGATCCTGACTATAGACGGCGCAGGCGATCCTCTAACGCCCCACTTTGTTGAGGGTCCCAAATTATGTAAGGTTAATTGATTGGTTAAAGAAAATGAAAAATTATAATTACGAAATTCTTTAAAATAGAATTATCATATGCAAACACAAGAAACTAATAAAATTTGAAAATACAAACATTTCTAAAACAATCATATAAATGGCATAAAGCTTATCACGTTCATTTTTTGTATAACGTAAATATATCACTTTCATTATTTTTTCCGTGTATAATTAATTTAATTATTTATCTTTCTAACCATCATTTTTCTGTTTCTTAACAAAAAATAAAATGTCACTTTTCTCTCTCCAAAATCTATGGTCATTATTTTTTCTTATGCTCTCATGGTGGGTTTTACACTTATTCAAGGAGCTGCTGCTAAATTCATTAGTATTATTTCTCTCTCTAGATTAGATTTTTGCTCTTCGTTTCATTTGTCCATTTTTTTCAGTTTTTCATATCATTGTATTGATTAATGTTTTAATTAAACTAATGGTTCTCCATGTACTATATAATTTGGTTTGGGATTTTCTTGATCCACTTACTATTTTTCCCCTTTTATGTGTGTACTTAAGTTTAAATCTTGTATTTTGTTTTTCAATTTTTCTGATTATGTTTACTTGTATTTAATTATTTTTCGAGTCAAAATCAACAATTAATTTCAATCACTCATTTTATAGGACTCACAACTTTCCAACCATATACATTCTATCAACTTTTATCAAAATTTGGTAAAAATCTGATTTTAATCTCTAATAGGCTCCATTTTAATGAAATTTTGGGTGAAAATGAGTTTTGGATAGTGATTTTTTAGAGAATGTATGGTTAAAAAATAGAGTAATGCTAGTAGTTATTATGATGATCAAACATCGATAATATAACATCTCATTATCCCTCACATTTCTCTCTCTCCCCCTCTTTCTCATTGTTGTGAAAAAAAGATGACAATAAAAGTAAAAGATATACACACGGATTTGCAGAGGAATTTTTATTTCTTGAGGAATCACAATACAGTAGTTGGACGACTACTAATTTCGCTTACAAGCCATATGTCATAAAATAACATATATATAGTTAGAAGAAGAAAAAATCATAATACAATGGAAATACCCACAATACCCTTATGTTAATTTTCGCCCGCCAGTTGTGGCTAGGTGTCCAGTATAATCAGGCTCCACACAACTCAACACTCATAAAAATTGAACTGTCCAATATTAGTATTCCACATAAATTGTTACATCGTCGACG